CCGCTTTTAACAGTATTCAAGTAATATCACGGCGTGTCAGCTTAATGTGGGAGGAAAGCCCGAAGTGATGCAGGTCTCAGACGTTTACCATTTCGGTGAAACCCACGAGAACAGGTGTGGTGCTGACAAACCTAGAAACATAATCGGGGCGAACCGGGATTGGAAGCCACAATCCTATGTTTCTGGCGTGCCCAATGGACGCAACTCTGCACAGCGAATCGCGGCGCCTTAGACGACTGGGCCACCCGTGCCCCCAATAATTTCTGGAAGTAAATCCAGCCATGACAGACCTTTTACAAAATGGCCGCCATTCCCAACCTGGTTTTTATTAACAAAATAACTGGGCTCAGTCACACATTCAGGATTTTTACTGCTGTCCATTCCCGATTAAAATTTGTCAAAAGTCTGATCAAGATCCTGTGATTCGTGGCGGGAAATTCACAAACAATCACATATTGTTCAGGAAGCGTCCCGATTCAGCCGTTTCCAGCCGAATTCGTCCCAATTCTACCGTTCTCATTCCGAATCTGATTCGATTTGTATCTTCCGCATGCTAAACAACGACCGAATCTGTCCCGACAGCGTCCCGATTCCTCCGAATCAGACAGTGACCGGACAGTGAACCGACACAGACGGTTGGCATTCGGCAAGATCTGGACGCAATATGGACTCAATCGACAAGAAACGGCAATGAACAATTCATGCCCGTTCATCACGACAGCGTCCCGATCCACAGGACACCGTCCAGACAACACAGGATCCGATACTGCAGAATCTGTCACGACATAGTCACGATTGTAATCCGCCAAGGCAAAATCGGCTGAGTGTCCCGAATGTTACGGGACGCACCATGCTGTCGGGAGTGCTTGGCCGACCTCTCTGGACCTTTCCCGATCCGCAGGACTCTGTTACGAACGTACACGACTGCGTTCAGACAATGATAGGACATTCCAGATCATTTAGGAAAGTAATCCGACTTTTTCACTTTTCTTGTCGTAGCTCTGTCTGATCTCAAACGGGAGCCGTAATCGGCACTGTGTGAACTTGGCCTTAAAACGAAGATAGCTACCATTTGCTACAAAGTGATTTACGTTTAAATCGTCAGTCTTCAGCTATTTAGATTTTACAATGCTCCTTAAGAAACAAGACTTGACAATGATTATAATTTAGTGATAATGATGATGATGCAAATTTGAAAGGTTGTTATGAGGAAATAGTCGATTCTCTACTTCGTTATTTAATCATTCCAAAGAAACGTTTTGCTAAACATCAGCTGATCATTTTTATAAGATACATAAGAATTGCTTTGAGACAGATCTATTGACTAATGCTTAAAATAATAACTGGCCTAAAAACGACGATAGCTTCCCTTTGCTATAAAGTGATTTACGTTAAATTGCCAGTCTTCATATATTTAGATTTTAAAATGATCTTATAAAAAGTCTGACAGTTATATTTTAGTGATGATGTAATCTTGAGGCGACGTTTCAGTGTAGATTTTAACACCTTTATGAAGCAATTGACCATTTTAACGATTACACATCGGATCCGAGCTGTCTAATTTATTAAGACCATGTGGAATTTGATATTTTGGACCCCTCCATTTTGAAAAAGATTGATCCGATCTTTTCCGTGAAGATCCCGGATAGAATAGGTCTTCAGCATCCCATGAGTGCTATGTTTGTAGGCGGCGACTAACGGGATGGGTGGTAAAGCTCGCTGACTTGGTTGATGCATGCATCAATTGCGTAGATAGATGTTGATGATGTTAATCACAGGACTGTCTGGTCGAGACTCGATTATCTACAGACCGCCGTCATAGAACTGAAATATTGCTGAGTGCGGCGGTAAACAGCAATCAAACAAACGAACAAACAAACAAAGCACGTTTAACCGCTACGTATGGTTTTAAGTCAAACACTGTCAGTGTAAGACGGAAACATCACACAAAATTCATTATTCGGATCCCTGAGTACTTTTGGACATTTAGCTCCGCAGATGAATCAGCGGTTATCCGTAAGCATTCGTTGCATTCCAACAGATTCCAGTGAGCTGTGTCAGAAAAGATGACGTGAACACAAACGTTCGCCCGTTTCGTCCAGACACTGACAGTTAAAGGGAGGTAATCGTCAATAGTGATTTTACTCTTTTCGTCCTCTGCAACTTGTCGGAATATTTAATGATTCAGTGAGCACGACCTACACTAGTACCATGACACACATCCTTGAGGACCCAAACCCCGACTTGAAACTATCCGGCATACCAGTTACTTTGTATTTAGAGAGGCACGGGTGGCCCAGCCGTCTAGGGTGCAGCGATTCGCTGTGCAGAGTTGCGTCCCTTGGGCACCCCAGAAACTTATGATTGTTGGTTCGAATCCCGGTTCGCCCCGATTATGTTTCTAGGTTTGTCAGCACCATACCCGTACTCGTGAGCTTCACCGAAGTGGTAAACGTCTGACACCTGCATCACTTCGGACTTTCCTCCCACATTAAGCTGACACGCCGTGATAAAACTGGAATAATGTTAAAAGTGGCGTTAAACCCAACTCACTCACTCACTCACTATACAGCTGGAAGTTTTCCTGGAAAATGTTCGAGTAAACAAATGGGGATTTGTTGGCTTCATTTCTCATGCTGTCAACCACTGGCTTGCCTGGTAAGGAGTACACACCAGTCGCCTTCCAGGTGTTAGATTAACGACTGCGTTGTATATCGATCTTTAACCATCCAAGCCAGGGATTGACTTAGCTTTGTACTCAAAGCGTTCGCCCGTCTAACCATAAACCAGGTTCGATTCCCAACATGGGTAAAACAATATAGAACAAACTATATGCGTTTTTGCGTCTTTCATGGAATATTTCTAGGAGAGACGTAAAACAAAACTTTTTAACTTCAATTTGACATGCAGAGTTGCGTCCCTTAGCTAAGCCATGAATGCGATAGTCATGGATTTGAATCCAAGATTCGCTTGGACCGTTGGTACCCGTCTGTCAGCACCATACCTGTGTGTGCACCTTGGTGTCCATAAAATAGAAAACATCTACGACCTGTCTCAATTGGCGTTTTCTTACACGTTGAGACATATTTGAAAGATGCATGTAGTTCAAGTCCGCGTAAAACCCATGCCTAGTTTGTCACAGTCCCTGAACCATAATATTTTCCCTTCCGCCCAGCCCTAACTGTAATGCAATAATCCCAAATAGAGTTTGTATTTGTTTGTTGTTTAACGCCGCACTCAGCAATATTCAAGCTATATGATGGCGGTCTGTAAATAATCGAGTTTGGGCCAGACAATCCAGTGATTGATATCATGAGCATCGATCCACGCAATTGGGATACGATGACATACATCAAACAAATCAGCGAGCCTGACCAACCGATCCCGTTAGTCGCCTCTTACGGCAAGCATGGGTTGCTGAAGACCTATTCTAACCAGGATCTTGACGGGTCCTTAGATAAAGCAAGTCTAGATTTCCCAAGGTTCTGAAACTCACTGGGTCATGGGGCTCCTTTTCAAATTAAATGTAGTTGTTTGTTTCTGTCAAAACTATGTTTTCAGAGACGTTGGGTTAGTCTTAGCCCACAACCCCTTTACTCCCGTTTCCCTATTGTAATGGCAGCGTGATATCATTCGTAAGGAATATCAGTCCCCAGATATTGAAACTTCCATGGGTAAATCTATATTTAAACTGTAGTGGGTTCTTTTATTATGTTGCCTTAATGGTTTCTCAGAGTCGTATAATTCTAGGGGCACAGGTGTACCAGTCGGCTGAGGCGCCGCAATTGGCTGTGCAGAGTTGCGTCCCTTGGTCACGCCAGAAACCGATGGTAGTGGGTTCGAATCCCGGTTCGCCCCTATTATGTTTCTAGCTTTGTCAGCTGTGGATTTCACCAAAGTGGTAAACGTCTGAGACCTGCATCACTTCGGGCTTTCCTCCCACATTAATATTACTATTTCCATTTGCGTATTTATACTTTGTTTACATCGGTTGTATGCCGCCACGTGCTGTTATCGAAGCCCCACAAATAGCTAGCGATACGGTCACTGACATTGATGCGAAAACATACACTGGCATACACTGTCGCCGTTGTAGTAACACTAGACTTCCAACATCATTGATTTCAGTTTGAGCGCCATTGTTTACAAAAGGACAAAAGTCCGGTCAAGTGATGTGTCGCTTGTGGCAGTTGTCAATCAGTGCTTCGTCATGACTGCGCCGATGTTTTGATTTTTGCGTTGATTTAATTGTCATTAAAAACTCTGAATTTATGTATAGTTTAGTTTAATTTTTCATTTAATATATAAATGGTAATATTAGGTGTTGCAGTATGAGGCAACGCACGTTGAATCCTCCAGACCCGAGACTAAGAGGCGACTAACGGGATCGATTGGTCAGATTGGAATTTGTTGATTAATGTCATCCTATCCAAATTCCCTAGTTCGATGCGCATGATGCCAATCACTGGATTATCTTGTCCAGACTCGATTATTTACAGTCCGCCATCAAGCAGCTGGAATATTGCTGCGAGCGGCGTTAAACGACAAACAAACAAAACACAAAGTCATGCTCCACGTGTTTTCGTCAATGCGCCATGACGACACGATCGACACGTGCACTGTCGCAGTCGGCTGCAAGCGAACGCTCAGCCCAGTGGCCCACGACAAACCGTGTGAGACTGTTGTTATCGAAAGCACGGTTTATATAAAATACCATGCAGATCTTCGGGTTTAATTGTCAGACCGTGATTTTTCGAAAAATGTATATGAAGCGTACATAAAATCTTTAAATGTCAGTTTCTTTGTGTTTCGCATCTTCTGTCACTAAAATATTTTCAAAATACATCCAGTACAATTACAGTGTGTTAAGGGCGAGTTCACTCCACTATCAGGTCCTGTCACTGAAATCATTACTTCATAATTCAGATAATTACAAGGGCGCGTCTATATCAGTAGGTTATGACATTCAAACCAGCGATTAGAAATAAATATACATCAACTATGACAGAATAATGTCATGTATTTGTTTCAGATTGACAGTCGGGGTAACATACAGACAAAAACAGGAAATTCGACAATCATCAGACAATTTTGGCATATTTTCCAAGCGGATTAACTTTAAACACCGGACTTGTTGGGTGGAGAAAAGAGTCGTGGCACTGTAAATTAATCTGGACATCGTTCCACTTGACGGCGTTCTTGCAGTCCCAACCGAGACGCCCAGTTAAAGTCATCTGCTCGCTTACCGGAAGTATTCCCCATTCAAAGTCATCACCGCATCTCCAGCTAGTTGGTGCTCACACGCGAATCCAACATCCAACCAACATCAATTGATGCATCGTCTTCATTTGTCAAGGTTTGGCTACAGGCATTTCCCGCAATATACCAACTCCCCCCTTACACTTCACTGCGTCCCTCATTACCGTTTCTCCTGATCAACAACCCTTACACTTGCCTCGATCTAACGATAGCTATCTATCCCATTTAATCCCCCATCTTTTGTTCCGTAAATGTGTTGACTCAGCCATCCAGTCTAACAAGTCATGAATTGTGGCTTTCTATTTCTGTGAATCGTCCCCACCCGGTCTTCTCCCATCTTCCTGATGCAATGGAGTAAACTAACTATAAAAGTCCAGTCTCAGCCCTGGCCGAGCTAGGCTGCAATTTCGTGGCTCGATTGTAGCGCCATCTCTTATTGACCAATCAATTCCACCTATCACATTACTTGCATTTGCTTCAAACAAAATGGCGGCGCCCAACCAAAACGATGTGATCGATAATAAAGATCTAGATTATAATAAAACGGGTCTTACCTCGCGAAGTTCATCAAATTATCTGAGAAACTTGATTAAAAACATGAAAAGATTTGGAAAATATATGACAACGCCGAGTTGACGTTACACATGCTTTGCAATTCCTGCAATCGACCTAAATCAGAACAGGAGTTTAAGAATCGGATGTTGACTTCGTTACGCGATTTTTGGATCGACATAGACTCGTTAGTCCAACTAAACTATACTCCGAAATTGCAGCCAAGTTCGGCAAGGGTCGAAACTGTACTTTTGTAGTCAGTTAATTCCCTTGCCTCGGGAAGATGGTCTCCTCCCATCCGGCCCTCAGACCCCCAACTGTCTGTCTCACTTTCTACATGCAACATAGAACAACATACCCACCCCCATTCTCAAACCTGTTGTAACCCCGTGGGGATTGGGTTTAGCTCTACTCCTTGACCCGCCTTCTGTGTAACCCTTACCCCTAAATACATACCTCTAGTCCCTCACCCCCCAAACGATACAGCCCTACTGCTGCCTGCCTCTTTGTCTGTCCCACCAGGCCTGGCTGCTTGGGTTGTTGCAGCTGTAGCTGATGACGGTGGGGGTGGTGGTGCAGGTGCAGCCTTGGTAGATGCGGCCGTTGACGTGGTAGGGGAAGCGCTCACCCGGGCGACGGCATTTACCACTGACATCGCGGCACCCTGGAGCAACAGCGGAGTAATGGTAAAAACAGCTGGCGGATAATGAACATAAACACACAGATCAGAGAAAAAACTGGCACTTAGGGAGCAAACGTTTGATTTACTCTGAAAAATTATTTTTTAAAATTAATGTATTTTACACATGGCTCGCATGGCAGAAAATACATAATATGCTCTTTTCTTGAAGACAAGTGTCCATAATTCGTAATGATAATTAATGAAAGCGAAATAAACTCCTCAACATTTAAAGAAAAGATGCTCACCCTAAACCAATCAAAGCCCCATCCCCCAAAATTTAGAAATTCTAGAGCTGACATGGTCAATTCATGTACACAGCTAAAATGAGTTAAAAGGCCCAGGTGCGAAAATAATCGGAAATATTTACAGGATAGCATGCTTTAAACATGATTTCAGTAACAGTTGATGTGGGAGGAAAGCCCGAAGTGATGCAGGTGTTTGGCGTTCACTGATTTGTTGAAACCCAGGAGCACGGACACGGTATTGACAAACCAAGAAACATAATCAGGGCGAATTTGTGATGCCGATAGCAAATATTTTGTTAATAGACTAAAACTACATATCTCCACCAACTCACCTGACCGCAGTCTCTTAATTTCGTACGAGTTGTGGGCTTGCTTCTGACAGGAGTAGGTGTGGCAGTCACTAGCGAACCAGGTGCTGCCGAGTGGGTGACAGGACCCGTCGTGGGGACAACCTGTAAAGATACAGTCGGTATATCCAGTGCTCAGAGTAACACAACCTTGATTAGCCAGGGTATTCGTCGGTTACGGTCCGGGCACCAATAACAGAATTCCTGGAGTTTTCTGTTTAGCGTTCCCGGGGCTATCTGCTTTTCAAATGTGGCGCTCCCGGGCCGTCAGCATTACTGCTGTAACATATTGCAGGCGTATGTTTTGTTTGTTTGTTGTTTAACGCCGCACTCAGCAATATTCCATATATATAACGGCGGTGTGTAACTTATCGAGTCTGGACCAGACAATCCAGTGATTGACATCATGAACATCGATCCACACAATTGGGATACGATGACATGCATCAACCAGGTCAGCGAGTCTGACCATCCGATCCCGTTAGTCGTCTTTTACGACAAGCATAGTCGCCTTTTACGGCAAGCATGGGTTGCTGAAGACCTATTCTACCCCGGATCTTCACGGGTGGCCAGGTGTATGAATTCATTGGTGATGGTGGAACCAAGTATCTACATCTACATACCCATGAAGGATTAACGTTGGTCGGAAACGTGACAAAATAAATATTGTTTTCTTAACCACGTGTATTTCATTTCGTGGCCTTCAGATTGGAGAAGACGGGCCATTTTAAATGGACAAACAGAAGACGCTAGTGACCAAGGGGAGGTGGGAAACGTATCCATCATTTGATGGACAGTGTTATTGATGCAATGAACCAATAAGGTAAACTTGGTATCACAACCCAATAAATATGCAAATGAGGTACCCCAAAGAACTACTTTTCATTAGCTCTTTTCTTCGTTGCAATTTCAACTTGCTCAATGGACAGTCACTGAACTTTCTAATAGGTATAGATAGATGCTTCTCAAAGCGTTCCTGTTTCTGTACACAAGTATGGCATCAAATAATTTGGTACTGAAGGATAAATAGGGCAGTTTACATAGTATTGTAATCACACGGGGTTTCTAATGATACGTAATTGTGTTTTAAACATCGATTATTTTAAGAATAATATTATAGGGTAGTGAAAAAATGACACGGAATCACTGCTAATCTCAAATTTCCTATGGTATATAATGAAGAAAGTATACATTCTGATCAGTGAGCAAATGTTACTGAAAAACATATTTAGATTAAAGTGCCAGTGTTGTTTTTGGAATTATTTTGAATAAACACTCACCTGTTTCAAATACTCTCGCTCTGCCAAACTCGCACCTGAACTTGAGACAGGGGGATCGGCGGGTGTTGAAGACTTCACCATGCCTGAAGACACCTTCACTGGTGTAGCAGTAGCCCCGCTGGTCTGGAGTGAGTGAGTGAGTGAGTGAGTGAGTATGGTTTTACGCCGCTTTCAGCAATAGTCCAGCAATATCACGGCGGGGGACACCAGAAATGGGCTTCACACATTGTACCCATGTGGGGATTCGAACCCGAGCCTTCGGCGTGATAAGCGAACGCTTTAACCATTAGGCTACCCGACCGCCCACGCTTGAGCTCCAACAACATGGTCATTTATAAACGATTCAAATTTTCGCATTTTCTTCCATAAATGAATGTGGTCAGTTTCCAACCTGTTGTTCAAACATGATCAATATAATTGTAAGGTTTTAAATAGTTGTAGCAAATAAAGTAAAACTTTAAATTAAGATAATTAAGCAATGTCGTTATCAGAAATATATGTTAAAATGTTACCTGTTTCTGGTTTGTGTACATGGGTGAGGATGGTATGACGCGACATGGATAGTATGGATAGTGGATAGTGGATAGTATGTGCATGAGTGAATGACCATTGTTTTACACGGCAGTCAGAACGATTCAAGCTTTTCACAATAAACAAGTATCGTTGCCCTTTACGGCAAGTCTGGGTTGCTGAAGACCTATTCTACCCCTGGTCTCGCCCCGACGTGAACATGATATTCTCGTGACTACCTTTTCCTACCAGGAATCACCACTGTGTGTTTATGTATGCGTCAAACTTACCTCCAGTCGCCCTGCTCATCCTACTCGCCCTCCGCTCACTGACAGGGGTGGCGAGTACGCCCGACAGACCAGCAATCAGCAGTACACACAAGAACCCTTCCATCATGGCTTCTGTAGACAGGGAAATAACTTCAAGTTAATATAATGAGTAGAACTTTCTCCTTCATTACAGGTGCCAACGAGACTTCAAGTGAGGCGAGGGGCGGTCGGGTAGCCTAGTGGTTAAAGCGTTCGCTCGTCATGCCGAAGACCCGGGTTCGATTCCCGACATGGGTACAATGTGTGAAGCCCATTTCTGGTGACCCCCGCCGTGATATTGCTGGAATACCGCTAAAAGCGGCGTAAAACCATACTCACTCACTCACTCAAGTGAGGCGACATGAGAGTCATTACGGATGAGTAGTCCTGAGTGAAAGATCAGCGTGATTAAACTTCAAGTCTTTGGTCTTCTTGACGAGGGTCCTGTAGTTCCAAGTTTTGAGCAGGTTATTCTATATATTACGTCATTTTAGTGAATGAGTGATTTGGTTTGAACGCCGCTTTTGACAGTATTCCAGTTATATCACGGCGTGTCAGCTTAATGGGGGAGGAAAGTCCGAAGTGGTTCAGGTCTTAGACGTTTAAGGTGAAACCCACAAGCACGTGTATGGTGCTGACAAACCTAGAAACATAATTGGGCCGAACTCGGGATTCGAACCCACAATCATAGGTTTCTGGCGAGCCCAAGGGACGCACAGCGAATTACGGCGCCTAAGACGACCGGGCCACCCATGACTCACATTTATAAGAGTTAAAAACTAAAACGCAGTCACATCCATTACAACAAAATAAGTGTCGCTATATGGCTGAAATAATGCCGATGCGACGCTAAATTTTAACTCACAACAAAATAAGTAAAAAACGCATAACCATTTAAACTGTGTTTAAAATAAGAAATTGGTCATTCATGATGACGCCATTGCAATGGGAGCGGTTTATGCGGTTTTAAATAACACTTCGGTGGCGTTTCCTCCAGAGGGGGGAGGTGTGGCAGATCGTTGACGTATACCACTTTGAGAATCAAACAACCCTGGATATGGTGTTGACACATCAGCTATCATTATCAGAGGGATTCTGTGACTCGAGACCGCCTCCGTGGTCTAGTGGTAGAGCGTCCGCCCGGAGAGCGGAAGGTCCGGGGTTCGATCCCCGGCCGCGTCATACCTAAAGACGTTAAAAGATGGTACTTGTTGTTAACCTGTCTGGCGCTCGGCATTGAGGGGCTAAAACAAGGACTGGTCGGCTCGGAGTCAGTATACTGCGTCTGAGTGGGATATTCATGTTAAACTGCGGCTCTCAGTGAGCTAGCACTATAAATCGGCATCAGTCCGGACTAGTACAAGCAGCCACACAAACACACACACGTGCATGCACGTCGCTATATAAGCGCAATAATCTTGGACGCGACGTTAAACCCAATTTCACCTCACCTCACTGTGATTCGAACCCCGTGAATTCGCTGCGAGTTCCGCCTTCTTTTCCGTTACGGAAAAGAAGAACTTAGCGGGATTGTTACAGAATTCAGTGGAATGGCCATCATTTGAGTATAAATGTAAGGTAATTTCAACAGCAATTCAAAATATTGCTAAGTACTTGACACATGCTTTTCCTAAGATACCCAATAAACACGTCTATTTCGCATGGACATTGTGCCATTACTGCAATTGAAGTTAATAAAATAAAGGTATTTACATGTCAAACTCCGTGACGTGTATTTGGATTCTGTCTATAAAATCGAAATTGAACTGAATAATTGTTAACAACGGCAAAATGTACGATCTGAGCTACGCACCTCAACGTCTGTATCCTGTCGATGACAACGTCGTTCTGATGCCGCTGATGCCCCAACATCCGAGTTTCAGCGGCAGAGTGATTCAACAACAAGCAATTAGCCTAGGATCAACCAGTTCAATCACAGTGCAGCTGGAAATAAACCTACTTAATTGTCGAAACATTACTCATCTTGCAACACAAGAACAGGCTGTCAGTAAAGAAGTTAATGTGACGAATTATGAGTACTTATGTACACTGGTAAAAAGGTATTTGACATAAGCCTTCATACCCACTGGTCCAAATGAACCAATGGACCTTTGACTTAGAAATGACAGTATGTATATGTGACCTTTCTTATACAATGTTTAAGTATGGAAATTGATACTTAATTAAAGCTGATTTTAATATAAGTGAATAATTGCGTTTGGAAATTTTGTAGGGGCAGATGTCTTAAATAATGCCTATTTTCCTTCCCAACCAATATTTACCTATTCAATAACTTATAATAAGCAGGAAAAAGGCCTAGAAAAAAACATTATTATTATATGAGTTCTAAGATTGATATGTTTGTAATATTTTGCGATCATATCTCTCTCTCTCTCTCTCTCTCTCTCTCTCTCTCTCTCTCTCTCTCTCTCTCTCTCTCTCTCTATATATATATATATATATATACATACATAAAATCATACATATATATATGCATACTGTTTGACCCCGATAATCGGGAAATCCACATTGCGGGAAATTTCTGTTTGTGATGTCTACACATATACACTGGACACTCCACATACCAATAATTCGTTTATTCTAAAAGGTGTTAATCCGGACGTTTTCCCGGCATTGATGCTGTCTGGATTAAAGGTTTGACTTTATATGTTTATCATCAGAAGGAATAAACAACATGTATGTATACTCTAATGAACTTTCAGCACGGTCCTCACTTGAAATAAGTGGCAGTTGCTTCTTGGCACGTGCCTGTACCAGTGTCCCTCATGTCTCCAACAGGACGTCCAGGGCACTTCGTGCAATAACACTTGATGTGTGACGTCGAAACACACTTCCTTTGATCTCGGCCGGCGGAAGGAGATTGGTGCAACAGATAACAGTATGACATCAACACACTTGCGGATGATGTTTCCCGAATAGAGGAATAATGCATGTCACTCTGTGTCGACAGGGCTTTATGACCTACGATTCATTTCTCTGAGTGACCCGTGAATACCCGGGTTAGAATAGGTCTTCGGCAACCCATGCTTGCCGTGAAAGGCGACTAACGGGATCGGTAGGTCAGGCTCGGTAACTTGGTTGATGCATGTCATCGTATTCAAATTGCGTGGATCGATGCTCATGATGTCAATCACTTGATTGTCTGGTTCAGTCTCGATTATTTACAGACGGCCGTCATACAGCTGGAATATTGCTGAGTGCGGCGTTAAACAACAAACAAAAATTTCTCTGAGTAGAAGAACGTAAGAATGGTTTGAACTCACAAAACTGGACATTAACATATGTTGTGTGTGTTAAACATGAGAACAATTAATATTTTTCAGCATTTGCCCCCTCAGAATATCAAACGGACATCCTCGCTCTGGCATGCTTAGTCCACACTTAGACCGCCTCTGTGGTCTAGTGGCAGAGCGTCCGCCCGGAGAGCGGAAGGGCCGCGGCCGCGTCACACCAAAAGACGCTAAAATATGGTGCTTTTTGTTACCCTGCCTAGCGCTCGGCATAAGGGGCTAAAACAAGGACTGTTCGGCTCGGGGTCAGTATACTGTGTCTGAGTGGGGTATTTATGTTAAACTGCGGCATGATATCTCAGTGGGCTTGCACTATCAAATCGGCATTAGTCCCGACCAGTACAAGTAGCCACATACACACGCACTCGTGTATGCACGTCGCTATATAAGTGCAATAACATTGAATGCTACGTTAAAGCCCGTTTCACCTCACTTAGTCCAGAACTTTATTTTAAGTTATGTGAACACTTATTTCTTTCTTATTGCATGGACGCAAGACGAGATTAGTCATACCGTATTTATACATATTTCAGTCTGTGAAGTATTCTACATACCGTATTTATAGCATATATCAGTCTCTGAAGGATTCTACATACCGTATTTATACATGTATCAGTCCCCGAAGGATTCTCCACATACTGTATTTATACATATACCTGTCCCTGAAGGATTCTCCACATACTGTATTTATACATGCACCTGTCCCTGAAGGATTCTCGACATACTGTATTTATACATGCACCTGTCCTTGAAGGATTCTCAACATACTGTATTTATACATGCACCTGTCCCTGAAGGATTCTCCACATACTGTATTTATACATGCACCTGTCCCTGAAGGATTCTCCACATACTGTATTTATACATGCACCTGTCCCTGAAGGATTCTCCACATATTGTATTTATACATGCACCTGTCCCTGAAGGATTCTCCACATACTGTATTTATACATGCACATGTCCCTGAAGGATTCTCAACATACTGTATTTAGACATGCACCTGTCCCTGAAGGATTGTCAACATACTGTATTTATACATGCACCTGTCCCTGAAGGATTCTCCACATACCGTATTTATACACGTATCAATCTCCGAAGGTTTTTAAAAAACCGAAATGACACATGTATCAGTCTTTGAAGGATTCCACATACCGTATTTAATATCGCATACCGTATTATTGTATATTAGTGCCTGAATGATTATGTAGCACATTTGATCACATGTTTCTGATTTCTGTTTAAAATAAAAATTTCTTGTCATAAACATGCTTAAGCGGTTCACAGACGAATGCAGCAATGATAACATACCATTTTGACATTAAAATTCCATGGACCCTACACTGCAATACTGAATAGCTTGGAACGAAGAAAATGTTGTAAGTGTAAATTTTAGACTGAGTTCTGTAATGTGTATTGCAAGACTTATATGGCTGTTCACGTTGAGGTTTCGCTCGTTCAGATTGTTAAAGATCATGAAAGTTTTACAAAATTCAAACAAAAAGTAATAGAATAGAGTTAAGAAAACTAAAGTAAGAAAGTAAGATTTTTGCCAGTGTTTTTTGCATTTATAACGGTAAGGGAAAACTCCAAAGTTTGTCCCTCGTTTAATATTTCAGTGTACGATTGTTTGACCACAGTTAAGCTTTCAGAGCATACTTCTGATATTTTATACAGAAGGAAGGAGATGCTCTGATCCATACACAATAGCTCTAACATATAATGCCAGAACCAGTTGCAGCTAGGTCAGCGTCGAAATCGAGTGGTTTTGGGTACAAAGTTTGAAGCTCATTTCTGGTGTCCCCCGCCGTGATGTTGCTGGAATGTTGCTTAAAGCGGCGTGAATCCATACTTACTGACCAAAGCCATAATATAAACTTCAAGAAAAGTCACAGATCCAATAGAGAGTGTAAGCATGTTTTCCAACCCTGCCTTGCGAAGCACGACTCGATTTGTAAAATTATTTTGCCTCTAAGCATATAAGTGACACATGAGTATTACCGACGACACGTGACACTGTATAATTGAGTGCAACAAGCGAACGTCATTTTCCAACAAGACAACGCCCGACCTCACACGGCAGGACTGACAACAGCCTTTTTCAGGAATCACAACATCTAGGTAGGTCCTGCCATGGCTCTCAAGGTCTCCAGATTAAAACCCAATCGAACATTTATGGGATGCACTGGATCAACGACTGCGAGCGCGTTAGCTTCAACCGCAGAAACTCCGACAGTTGACAGAAGCACTGCAGGAAGAGTGGGTGAACATTCCCCAGGTCACAATTCGGGACCGGATCAGATTGCTTCCATGAGACAATGATACCAGGCAGATCTGGCCTCTAATGGTGGCCATACAAGATACTGAGAACAAATGACCTTCACCTTAAAATCTACTGTTTCATGTATAACATATACAACCTGGGCCAGTGACAATGATGTGTGCAAATTTTGAACAATCGATTACCATAAGTTGAACATTTATATGAAATTTAAAATATACATCTCAAATGACTTTTGTGTTTCGTTGCGTTTTTTTAATTGCCACCAATTTCTGTACTTCTGTTTCATATCACCATGTCCGTGCTGGAGGTTTTCACTAACGCGGTAAACGCAAAAAAAGTTTTGGCGTTCATCTTTGACTCACTCCAACCAAACTAAATACCGTTGTAGAAGCTGCGTTAAACTCATTCACTCTCTCAATTATCCAGTGTCACGTGTCGTCGGCAATATAAGAAGAGGGTGTGGGATGTTGGTCTGGGAGTGATTGTAAAATAAAAAGCGACATGGCGTCATCCCGAGTCGTGGAACCGACACGCTGAGATAACAATGTAATTATATCATTACCACCGACTCATGAACACACAGGAAGCCATTCAGAGCATAAGCCATTAAGTGTGTACACTCCTAGATTCACTGCAAATTCTTTTATTTGAATATATAATAATTATTATAATTGCCACAGCAGTTCCACGCTGGTAGTTAAAGTGGTGTGTTTGTGATCCCAATTCAGATCACCGTAAGGGTCTCTCATTCCACTCTTGTGCCACTTATATGCTTAGAGGCAAAATAATGTTACAAATCGAGTCATGCTTCGTAAGACTGGGGTCGGGAAACATGCTTACACACTCTATTGGATCTGTGACTTTTCTTGAAGTTTGTATTATGGCTTTGGTCAGTGAGTATGGATTCACGCCGCTTCAAGCAACATTATCACGGCAGGGGACACCAGAAATGAGCTTCATACTTTGTACCCATGTGGGGAATCGAACCCAGGTCTTCGGCGTGACAAGTGAACGCTCAACCACTAGGCTATCCCACAAATTTAAACATAATCTAATACATGTAGTATACAAATAGTAAAGAAATCAGTGAAGTGAGTTGACACCAAGTATACATGTAGCAACGGGCGGTTGTATATCGTGGCGTTTGGGTCAGCGCTGGAAGGGGTCCGGAAGTGGTTGCCGGGTAGCCTCCCTTGGATGGTCGTATGGTATGGTGACTTGAAATCGGCGAACTTTTTGCGAACACATACAGTTATCGTACAACGTTCGTTTAAGGGGTGGGAACAGACGGTGTAGTAGTAGTCCATGCAGCCTACAACACAGAGAGATCAGAATGAACAACACATCACGAAAACATGCCGCAG